GGAACACAAAACCTGTGTACTATCAGTGTAAGCGATACTTGGGTATAGAACATGCAGTTGTGTGTGTATAGAACATGCGTGAAGACTACTTTGGATGTGACAGTTGAAGCAAAGTTCATTTCTGTGGTAGACTTTTGTTTGTGTTTATACCATGGTTCACATAGGTTTTTATTTTTGATGTTATCTTTTAGATTTTGTAAGCAAGTAAACAGCTGGTATGAAAATGTTGATGTCTATTCTAAGCACTTATTACATATTTGATATTGTATTTTTTTGACATCTTATTTCCCTACAAAGTACTTGTTGTACAATATAGTAGGAAGCTCCTGGCAAAACAGGAAGAGAAGGGAGGTGACAAGACTGCCACACAGTGCTGTCAGTGTGAGAGAGACATATGCAAGGAAAATGCGCTTGTCAAGCATGAAGACTTCCTTGGGTGTGACAGTTGAAGCAAAGCTTATTTCTGTGGTGGAGTTTTATTGGTATTTTCATTGTAGTTCACACAGGAATTTATTTCTGATGTTACCTTTTAGGTTTTGTAAACAAGTACACAGTTGATGTGAAAATGTCAACATCTATTCTAAACACACAATACATATTAGGAATTTAATAATTTATATTTTATGGTACTGTTAACTACACACTGTATAATATAATAAGAACCTCCTGACAAAACAGCAGAACCACTGAGATGTTAAATATGTCCACAAAAAGTCCAAAAAAACCCGAAAGATGTCAGCGTAAGTGATGTGTGTGTATGGAATGTGCTGTTGTCATATGTGCAGACTGCCTTAGTGTGATAATTGCAGTAAAGATTGTTTTTTTGGTAGAGTGATACTGGCATTTTCATTGTAGCTCATATAAGAATTCATTTATGATGTTCTTTTTTAGACTTTGTACACCAAAAACCAGTCAATGTTAAAATTGTGATTCTTTTTTTTTTCTTCTTCTTTTTTTGTGGTCTTTTTGAGACAAGGTTTCACTATGCTGTTCAGACTGGCCTCAAACTTGCATCAATCCTCTTGCCTCAGCCTCCCAAGTGTTTGGGTTACAGGCATGCAAAGATATTTTATAAACAATTGTTAAATATTAAAAACTCAATGTTTATTTTTGTGATTTTTTTCCCTGTTGAGTACTCATTTAATATAATAAAACTCATAAAATTAAAATTAATAATTCATCAATAGCTTATTGTAAAAAATAAACGTGGGTCTGGCAAATCTACACTTATGCACCTTGATGACAAAAGTAGTCTTAGGCTCCAAGTACTGTCTATATCTCCTGCCCTAACAGTATCTAAAATTGCTCTGTCCAGGATGTAGCCACCAGCTACATGTAGCTTCTAAGCACTTAAATGTGATTCATTAAATTGGATGTGTTGCAAGAGTAAGATACATATTAGATTTTGACAATCTCACATGAATAAACAAATGTACAGTATTAATACATTTTATAATGATTACACATCTTAAAAGTATTTTAGATGTAGAGTTAAATAAAATTTATTATTAAACTTAATTGTGTCTGTTTCCTCTTTTTTGCATGACTACAAGAATATTTATAATGTATAATGTATATGTGACTCCTGTTGTTCTTTGTTGGATACTGGAGTCTAGAACATAGTAGAAACTTATAAAGAATCAACAAATAGGATCTCACCGTACCGAAAAGCTTTTGCACAGCAAGAGAAACCACCAACAGAGTGAAGCAACAGCCTACAATGTGGGAAAAAACGTTTTCCAGCTGTTGCTCAGACAAAAGTTTACTATAGAGAACATATGAAGAAAAACAAAATCAGCCCTCCCAGATTTAAAGACCCAATCCAAAAATGGGCATCTGATATGAATATACACTTCTCAGATGAGGAAATACAAACAGCAAATAAATATGTGAAAAAAAAATGTTCAACATGACTGGCCATTCAATTAAAACACTGAGATCCCACCTCACTGGAGAAAGGATGGCTGTCATTGAGAAATCAACCAACAACAAATGCTGGAGGGGCTATAGGTGAAAAGGAACCTTCTCCACTGTTGGTGGGAGTGCAGACTGCTGCAACCACTGAGGAAATCAGTGTGGACGTTCCTCCAAAAAACTAGAATTGGAGGTCCCATTCAACCCATCTGTTACCCTGCTAGGTATCTTCCCAAAAGAATTAAAAACATCATACCTCAGTGATATTTGTGCACCTGTGTTTATAGCAGCACAATTTGTAATAGCCAGATCTTGGAAACACCCTAAATGCCCATCAACTGAGGGCTGGATAAAAGAGATGTGGTATTTTTATACAACCGTGGCATCTTTATACACCCATAAAGAATGATAAACTGAAGACTTTTATAGGTAAATGGATGCACCTTGAGAACATACTCAGTGAAATAAGATACACATGTGTAAACATATTTCATTAGTTTCATTAGTATGCCCAGCTGAAACAACATGCAATGTGTATGTATATGTATCTAAAAATAGTTACAATAATTATACTACTGATTTCTCTGAGTTTGCTAAAGAGAAAGATTTGTACTGGTATTGTTTGGACGATTGTGCTCTGGCTGAATGATTTGGAGATGACAATGTGCAAAGTATGTACCATTGTTACCCCCTGATTAACATGCTTTAAAATTTTGTTTTAGTTTTTTCTTCGTTTTATTCTTTGTCTTTCTTTTATCTATGAATAAAATAGATTTGAAAAAAAAAAAGAAAGAAAGAAACTTGTTCAGGCCAGTGTCTTAGCAGGGAAGAGAAAGCACACCCAGTTTGGATTATGAAGAGGTGTGAATGAAGGGATCGGTTACACAGATGTAGGCAAGCTTGAGGGAATCCACAAAGGTGGCAGAAGCACCAAGACTTGCAGAAGAGGGGCGCCGTTCCCACTCAAACTTAGAAGCGAGGGAAGGAAGAGATGTTATGAGTGCTAGTGAGCATGGAGTGTGCATTAGTGTCACCCACAGGGCCCTCGGTCTGCTGCTCCAGGCAGTGCCAAACCTTGGATCCCGAGCATCAAGAGAATCTGCCCTTGATCTCCTGCCTTGCTCCTGCTGGCTGTAGAGGACTGAATGGCAGAGGGAAAATTGATCTTGATTGATGTAGTCCTTGGGGGTCACCTCCTACCTTCCACAGCATTAACCAGAAAGGGCACAGAGTAGATGACCAAAGGACAGATAGTGAAGAGTAAGGGAACATTTATTAATTGAATGAGTGAAATGAAACCGGCCAATTGGAAGAGAATGAAGAACAGTGGTAAGTTCATTTTTTTTTCTCACCTGGCATCTTTCTACAGCACTGCTTTTCAAACTTCTGTGACACCAGTGTTTAGTGACATTATGTTAGCAGTTTAACAGACATTCCTTCCCAGTTTTTAATGTCTATATTTCTAACTATTTAAAACACCACTACCAATGGCCATAGTGGGACATTTCTCTAATACCAGCACTTGGGAGGCTGAGGCAGGAGGATTGCCATACGCCATCCTGGGCTACAAAGTGAGTTCAAGGTCAATCTAGACTGAATAGTAAGACTCTACTAAAAAAAATGAATAAATAAAACACTATTAAACAACACAACATGGGCAACCACATGTGTTATGTAGCAAGATATTTGAAAAAAATCACACATCAATTAGTGTTGCCAGATTAATTTGTCTTAGTGCAAGCCTAAAAATAGTTTTTTCTGATCTTCTATATTTTTGAGTATCTTAAATATGTCATTAATTAAGATTTAGATCTGATTAATCTTTTAAAAAAAATAGATCCACAAGGGTCCACATAAGTAAATGCATGCATATTAGTATCCACTGTGACATGTGTGCCAGCTCAGTTTGATGCCCAGTAAGTTTAAAGCATCTGTGTTCGGCCCCTGTGCTCCTATCTCATGCTGTATCAGTTTATGGCATGTCTGCATAAAGATGTTGTATTCATGTTAAGAATTCTGCCATGGCCAGTATTGTTAGGAATTTGATTTGAAATGCACTCCTGGCCATGAAGATTTTTTTCTTCAGTTCTTGACAAATTGAGATTAAACTGTTCCTCAGCTCAGGATATGGTGGTACGTGCTTGCAATCCAAGCTACTCAGGAGGCTGAGTCAGGAGAATCACAAGTTAGAGGCCAGCCCGAACAATTTAGCAAGACTTCTCTCAAAATTAAATAAAATATATGGCTGGGGGTGTAACTCAGTGATAGAGTGCTTGTCTAGAAGGCACCAAGTGCTGAGTTCAATCCCTAGTATTGAAGAAAAAAGCATTTTGGTCCTTTTCATTCTGGCCTTTTCTCTCAGCTCTAGAGTTTCCTCCTTGAGAATGGCTCCCTGACCAGCTAATATATTAAGCTTTCTCTCACTGTGCAACCTTTTTTAATTTTATTGCCTTCATAGTGTTCATCTCAGTTTGCAAGTTTTTGCTTGTGTATTATTTTTCATCTCTTTGCAAAGCAAACATGAATTTGAATTTCAGCAGCATAGGAGCTGGATCCATACTTCATCTGCCAGGGAAGTACTTTAAGAGCTTTATCTAATGAGTTCAGCTCTTCACCATAACCCATGAGAGGCTCTGGTCCCCCTTTGAGAGATGTGGATAGTGAGATGTAGGGAGGTTAAGTGACATGACCCACAACACATAGCTATTACAGGGGAGAGCCAGGGTTGAAACCCAGGAATGGGTAGGGGAGTATAACAGCATATTCATCAGAAACGCCATGGTGCTGTTTTGTGTGAGTTTTGCTCTTATGATGACCTTATGAGACAGATGCTCCTGTTAGCTCCATTTTACAAGTGAGGAAACTGGGACCCAGAGAAATGAAACATCTTTCCAAAGATCATCCAGCCAAAAAATGGCAACATGGTAATTTGAACCTAACCTAACCAGGATGCTGTATCACCTGTCTGGGATCCTGCTTGTGCTATGTGTCAAACCTTCCCAATTCGAAGACCACATGTGGACAGGCATATGTTCTTCATTCATAGTGGAAAGAATAGGCAGAGCCACCAGGAAACCTCTACTTACCTTCTCTGTGCCTCTCATGTTCTCCCATCAGTGTTTATCTCGGGCTTCTCAAATTGAGACATTTAATGCTGTCATTTTCCTATGGAAAATCTGGGAGACACAATAAGTTAAATGACACTTCTAACTAACCAGGGAGTCAGAGAAACCAGAAAATGCTTTGACATGAGTGAAAATGATAGAAGTATGATGTTCCAAGACTTACGAAATGGAGTTGAAGCCTCAAGTGTACAGAACACATGTACTGAACTTATTTCTATTCTCACCTGCACTTGACTGAATTTTTAAAAAGTCTATTCAGGCAACACTGAAGGCCAGCTCGGGGCCAGACAGCATGCTGAGATTTAGAAACAGTGATATCTAGATGATAACTCTAGCCCTCTACTGATGACCAAGGCAGTTGGAGCACGTAAAGTCATGATTATACCAACTGGCTGAGGACTTGATCAGGATTCTAGTGGACAAAACCAGAAGAATGTTATCCTTTTGGCCTGTTACTATCTCATTTTGTCTGTACCTTACCCCCGTTCAGCTTTTCTTTTCCCTGGAAGATGTACTTTTCTAGTTACCTTATGCCCCTTTTTAAAAAAAAAAATTAATTTATACAGCCAATTCCAGATGATCCCTTTTGTAGATTTTATACAATTAATGTTTGAACCCTGACTACTGGAATCTGGAATTAATTTTTCCCATCAGCTCCCTGCTTCCCAGATGAAGAACATGAGAACAGGGATTGGTTGTAACATTAGCCTAAGGAAAGTTGAAATAGATGGTCATTAGCTCCCCACCACTCCCTATGCCTGTATTCTTCACAGAATTTAAAATTTTTTCCCAAGCCACATAGGAATGTTTTTTTCCCTCAAGTCTCTGCTCTACTGGCACAGATGCAACAAATGGATATCTCCTGATTTGTTTTCTGCTGCTGCTAGGGTTATAGAATGTTATTTAAAAATTCTTTGAATTTTTGTATCCAAATTTATGTCCCAAATCTTAGTATAAGACCTGGCATATAATAGATATCAAAAAACTACATGTGAAAATACAAAATGGAAAGAGAAGTGGAAAAAAGCAGTGTATTATTCTTGCACAAACAATTTTGTTATATTTACATTTAGAGGTTTTTGTATCAGTTTCATCCGTGCATCATATGGTCCTCAAAAATAAGGCGAGTAATGTTTGTTCTTCTTTGTATGGCTTTACTCCTGGCCTAAAATAACACCTACTGCAGAGCAAAACCTTAATCCATATTTGTCAAATAAAGAATGAATAACTACTGGGCCTCAGTAAACCTCTGGTTGGTGTGGAAGAGGATTTATATTAATAATGTTACCCTAAACAGATTTAATATTACCTTAAACATTTTCTAAAACAAGACATAAATAACTTAGGTAAATTAACTCTAAATATTATAGAGTTTTGAAACCATATTAGTTACCTCAAGTGCAGGGAATCCATCTCTTAAATGAGTGTTGTTTTATTCCTCGGGAGAGAAATGGAGCCGAGCTATGGTAGTGCGGTGGCGTGAACGTGTGTTGTGGGATTTTTGTTGATGTAGCCATTCCCTTCCAAACACACGAAAACTACTTTTATACTTCCATTCTACTGCCATTGCTTCTGAGCTTTCTTCTCATTTCACATTTAAATTCTATAAACCGTCCAGTGAATGTGGCCATGCATAATAAGTGAACCCAGATCTGATTCTAAATGGAAGCCAGAGCCAGTGTCCAGACACTGGGAAAGCATAATTATCCCAAGAGCAAAGTTTTGTTTTCTGGGAGGGCTTTTATCAGTGTCTGTGGAGCCCCAGGTGTACATTTCAACATTAGACAAGGAAAAAGATTTATGAGACACATTTCTCCTTTTTCCCGGGGAAAAAATCTTCTCTTTTTGCAAAGACTTAGTGTGTGAGTACATCCCAATCCTTAAGGGAAAGAAAGAAAATTATATAAAAAAATCTATGCATGCTAAAATAATATGCACTCAAAATGAGGAATGATTGATTCTTTCCATATGTTCTTATCCTATTTCAATTTAAATTAATTTTGCAGGAATCATTAACCATCTCTGCGAAATTTGCTGGATTTCCTCCTAATGCTAGCTTTGGCACACCTGCAGCCAGTACATGTCTATGATAATCTGTAGGAACCAAAATTAATTTCAATGAGAAAGCAAAATGGTTCTCAAGAGTCCTTCTTCATATGTCTGGTTAGCATTCACCAGGGGCAGTAAACACAGCCTGACAAAGAGTGACAGAAATGTTTCAAGGGATCTCTTCCAAGTTTTCTCACTATCTTTTTTTTTTTTTTTAATTTGCAGGTGCAAAAATTCCATTTGTAATTCTTTAATTCCAAGGGCAATGGCCGCCTTGGGGTCTTAGAATTCAGGACAAGTGGCCAGCTGGGATACAATATTCTGCTTGCAAGTCATGGCAGGTGCAGAAGGAGGGCAAGCGGTTACAAGTTTGGCCTGTTCTCTTTTTCTTTCTTTTTGTGCTTCCTTTTCCTCGTCTAGTTGGGCGTACAATTACATGAGCTGAATTAGTTATCTCCCAAAGCTGTGCTGTTGTACATCCAGGAAAAGGACTTGATTACTCAATCCATGTTTCCAGGAGCCTTATTTGGGTTCTTTTGTGCAGCAGAAGAGAAAGTGCTGAGTGTACCCTCTATTTGTTTTATGATTTGCCTGCTGGGCACATTACTTGCTATCACTCTGCTTTCAGTAGATGGTCTTTCCACCAAGGTTGGAGAATGTCTATATTTAGAAAACGATCCAGGATGTAGAAGATGGAAAAATTAGGAGAAAGCAAAAGTGCACCAAGGAGGAGAGAGAAGGGCGAGAAACTACCATGGATTGTTTTTAAGGACAGGAGCCGCACCTGGTATTCAGGCTTGATTTCTTTCTAACCTTGCCTAGTGTTCCACTGTGCAATGTGGAGTTACTAAGTGGGGAGATGAGAGGAACAACAGTCAAGGAAAACAGCTCCAGTGCATGGTGACGTGGAGAGTTTTCCCAGGGCACACCCCAAGCACAGGGAGAGACTCCAAGGAGCACAGACAGAGGTTTCGGCTGCAAAGGGTGTATCTGTGACTAAGAGACTGAGGCCATTCTTAGCCTCTTTTGTTGTGGCTTTGTCAGCCAGTGAGCTGCAGATAAGGTCCATGACTTCTTTCCAGATCAGGAGTGCTTTGATAGCTTTTCCGCAAGCCATTACCAGAAACTTGTGAGTGGGAAGCTCAAGGTGGATGTGACTAGAACTGGCTCTGCTTCATCTTCACTCAAACTTGACACTTTGAAAAGATTAATACACAAAATACTCAGATATAATAAAAGAAAAAAGGATGAGGGGACCCAGGCATGGTAGCACAGGTCTATAATGTGGGACTCTGTTGAGGCAGGGAGCTCTCAAATTTGAGCCAACCCTGGACAACTTAGTAACTTAGCAAAACCCTGTCTCAAAATTTAAAACTGGGAGAGGCATGTAACTCAGTGCAAACACCCTGTGTTCAATTCCCAGTACTGGAAAAAAAAATGAGAAAAGAAAAAGGAAGCGTACAGAGCTCAAAAGCAATGAAAGAATATTCGAGATGGTCTAGAATCTTGGCCTGTGTAGCATACCAATTTAATTGTGCATTATTTCAGACAGTAAGGATATTTGTGGCCTTGGGATATATATATATATATGCTTGTTTTACAGTATACCAAGCATAGGCACATACCCAGTTCAAACCTTAAGAAATTGATACCTGAGTTACCATAGCTACTAGCTTATAGTAACAATGGGCTAGGAAGAACCATTCTCTTTGATATTAGAAATAAAATGAAAAAAGGGAAGGAAAAGGTCTACTTGACTAAAAATATATAAGATGTCTGAGTAGCCCTAAGATGTTTAATAGAACACACATTTCTTCCTTACAAAGCATCCAGGCTAGATGTGGTATGCAAACTTCTTTTCTCAATACAAAAAAATGCCAAGAGAGGAGAATAGTGAGTTCCGGCCAGGCCTGGGAAATAATAAGTCCCCTCCTCAAAAGAAAAAGTTCAACACTGGTGTCTTAGTTACTTGTCATATGAGACAAAATAGTTGACACCAAAAGCTAAAAGAGGAAAAGTTTATTTTGGCTCACAGTTTGTGGAGGTTTCAGCTCATGGTTGTCTCACTCCAAGGCAGGATGGCGTGGTAGAGGAGCATCACTGGGGGAATCAGTCCATGGCTGCCAGAAGGCAAAGGCAACAGAGCAGCAAACAGCAAAGTAGCAAAAGATGCAGCATCTCTCTTTCTGTCCCTTGTATTTTGCCCAGGCTGCACGCCCTTAGCGCAGGTAGCACCCACATCCAGGGAGGGTCTTCTCATTATCCACACCCAGAACTATGCCAAACCAATCAGTGGACTAGGTTAGTAATCACACACCCTTGATCCCAGCATCACACACCCTAGACTCAGCCACCTCTGAAAAATCCCACCTATGAACACGTGAAGCTTTCTGGGAACATCTAGATAGGAGCCATAACAACTAGAGACTGTTTGAAGTAATATTACTAAAAAAAATACACTTGTGTGATAATTAGCTCTTGTCAGTTTGCAACTACCTAGTCTCAGAACTAGACCAATCTCAACATCACATTCCTGTGTTGTAAATAAGAAAGTAACCCTGAAGTGTCCACCCCTGTGCTGGGGGTCATCACTTCCTCCAGCATCAAGTTGGCTGCTACTGGTTTCTGGGTGGGAAGGCTTGGACAGAATTTTTCCTTAATTGTTTTTCTCCTGTCCCCAGTTTTCTTGGGGGAAAGGAGGTAAGCCACAGTTTGTCTGTGCCTCATGGTCAAAAGAAAATATTCTCAGATCTCTGGAATCTTGAGTCCTAGTGTTGGCCCAGCCACTCTTGTTACTTATAGACAAATTAACCACATCCCACTGACTTCAGTTCCTCATAGGAGCAGAAACATATACTACTTTCTTTGATCCTTATAAAGTCTGTTTTAAACTGGACACAGTGGCACATACCTGTTATCCCACACTTAGGAGGTGGAGACAAGAGGATCACTGCAAATTCAAGGCCAGACTGGATTACAGTGTGAGTTAAGGACCAGCTTGGAGTACACAGCAAGACCCTGTTTCAAAAAAACCATCAATAAATCAATGAAAGACTTTTAGAGTAGCAGGCGGTGTCATGGAAAGAGCAAAGGCTTTGGAGTCAGCCAGTTCTGGTTCATTTTGTTTTGTTTCGTTTTTTGTTTTTTTGGTTGTGCTGGGAATTGAACTCAGGGTTTTGTGCATGCTAGGCAAGCACTCTGCCACTCATCCCCAGTCCTTCTGCTTAGTTCTTAATAAATACTTATTTGGCACCTGCCAAACGCAACACATTGCTGTTACTGCCAGAAATACTCTCCTTGTGCTGCTCATGGTTTAATGAGCAGTTAGTCTGTGAACTTGAGCAAATCATTTAACTCTCTAAGCTTGTTTGTTTGTTTTTCCCCCATCGGCCATTATAACAGAGTTTCAGGATTTGCTAGCAAGATTACACAAAATGGCATTTAAATCATCTATTATGTGGTAGGAGCTCAATTATTGCTATGTAACGTGTTACAAGACACCTTTGCAATCGTGTGCCTCTAGATAAGAGAATTCTTTCATCCCTTCTCCATACTTTCATCCCTTCTCCACCACGGCTATCACAAAATTATACTAATTTCTTTCTTTCTTTCTTTCTTTCTTTCTTTCTTTCTTTCTTTCTTTCTTTCTAAACAAGGTTTCACAGTGCAGTTCAGGCTGGCCTTAAACTCACTTTGTAGCCTAGGCTGACCTCAAACTCATAGTGATTCTCCTGCCTCAGCCTCCCAAGGGCTGGAATCATGGGTATGGGCCACCACACCTGGCTACATCTCTTTTTCTGTACCTTCTTAAAACAACTTCACTTATCAAAGAAATACAATCTGCATTTCTTCTATGCATACATTGACTATATCCTTGGCTAGATCTGGACATATGGAAATAAATGAGACTTTCTAGGTTTTACTTAGGAACATACAGTAGAAGCTTGAATTTCATGAATGTTCTCACTTTTACAGAGCTTATTCCAGCTAGAGTTGAATATTGGATGGGAGGAGAGAGAAGGAAGGAGCAAGAGAGGGAAAGAGAGAGGGAAGGAGAGAAAAACAGAGAGAGAGAGAGAAAGAGAGAGAAAGGAAAAAAGAAAATAGCTTTCTGCTCGGAAAGTGGGCCAAGCTAAAGCTTTACCAGAGACCTATAGCTTTGTCCCCAGGACCCTTGGCAACCTTACTCTCTCAAGACAAAACAGATGGTGGAACACATGTTTCCTGTAACTGACCCGGAGGTAAAATTTTAACCTATCAGTCTCATTTCCAGCTAGAGAAAATCAATCCAGTTATTTACTGAACCCAGCCATGTGACTAGAGTGTTACAGCTATTTTAGAGGATATAAATTAAGAAGATACTTTAGGAGACATAAGTCAATATGAGATATGATTCCTACCTTCAAGGCAGGATGTGAACTGTGTTAATTTATTTATTCAAGGAAAATCTATGTAATAACCATTGGCTTTGAGGAATGATACTGAGTCCTGGGTCTACTGAAT